GAAAAACACTGGATATAGCAGTGGTGAAATTATAAACTCTAACAGAGAACACGGAATCCTCCTTATAGACACACATCGGAGCAGGCTCCTCAGCTAGAAAGCTGAATTATGCCGATTACAAAGCAATTGTATAAGATGGCTTGCATAGATTAGAACACTAAGCAACCATTCAAAATGAGAGTGGGAGAATGTCAAAGGCACCAAGTAGAAGAGAATGATGAATTCCTGCCACTCTGTCTCTTAGACTCGGTCTCTTTCATATTTACTTTTCACTTCACTCCTAGATATGGGTATGTGTCTCCAAAGGCTAAGAATGCATTCATTCATTTATTCATTGTTTCTTTCATTCATTTACTGAGTACCTGATATGTGCACTGCAGGAATGTTAAAAATGAATCAAGCAAGGGTCCTACCTCAGAAAGCTCAGAACAGTGGGGGAGACAGCAGAGTGTAAGAGACGTGTATCCCAGTATCACCAAGTAAAGTACAGCACAGAAGAAAAATTCATTAACAGGTAACAATTGAACCAACATGCTCAGCTCTTCTATGTGCATGAAAACTGAGGTATCATAAGTCCTGGGAGAAACCAGGAACATGAAGTCTGAGGTTGAATTGATGAAAGAATACAGTATATACCCAAGCAGAGGTTTTCATCCCATAACATGTTCCCTGAGATAAGAAAGGAGAAAGTGGGACCAAATGTCCAGTTCCAAAATGCAAGAAGATGTGGGAATGGAAAGGAAGGTAAGAGACAGATGATGGGCAAATAACTGAAAAAAGTCCTGTCAATGTTGGAAATGTCTAGATCTTCTGAAAATACTATTCTTTGAGCAGTACATAATTATTTTCTGCTTATATCCCGAAAGACTTCTTTATCTTGGGTAACAACAGCTTTTCCTTTTCCCCCATTTATTCCTCTGCTTCTCTGCTGAGATTCCCAACAAAGATGCCAATTAGTGCCAATTGTCATGATGTTCTGAGATGTAGACACCTGTCTTCTAATAACTGGACTGAGACCACCAACTCATTTCATACAGACCATCAAACAGACATCAACTAGTAATGGCCTACATTTACTATCAACCTGGGCTCAAGTCAAGACCTTCTCCCATGGAACTGCTCAGCATTCTTGATGGCAAACAACACGTTCAATATGTGCTCACTCTACTCCAATAAATGGACCAGTGCCTGTGGCAATAAGTGCCACTAAATAGTCATGTCTCTCTCTCATTCTCTATGTTACCACCCTATCTGACCTTTGTAGAGTCAGCCTCTCTTAAGCAAGTATTTGTAAGACCCACTGAAGTGGAATGCAGATTAAGACTTACGCACAATTTTTTTTAAATATGGAAACTACATTTACATATTCATGTCCCACCATAAGATGAGGAGGTAAAGAAGGCTGCTGTATGTTAAATTTCAAGAAGCAAAGTAAACAGTATCAACATCAGGGATGCATGAATTCCATGTAAAGTATTTTATAACCATCTGCATATTGTAGTTCTTTAAAATAATCTTTAAAGTAACTTTAGAGTACTTAAGTTCAAGATTCTCAGGTTCCTGTATATACGCTGAACATTAAAGGGGAATGTGTTTCTTTTTCAAATGTTAGTCTAAATTATCAAAAACACACACCAAAAAAAGGTTTAGATCAAATGACATTATTTGAAGAAATTAAGAGATGAAGTCCTAAAGAAGTGCAGGATACAGAGAAATTATTTTTAGTTCTGGTGGTAAGATATAGGATTGAAGAAATAAGAGTTAGTCCCTAGAAGGGTAAAAAATTTGTTGGGATGGGAATGCTTCAGGGATATTAATGTAACAGAATAAAATGTACCTTATATAGAAAGACCAGAGGCAGGAAGGGCAGGTGGAAGGTAATAATAGTTGTCCCAGAAAAGTCTCAAGTGGGGAGGGGCGTTTCTTAGAGAGAGTGTTGGTTCAAATGAATAATTAGGGAGAGGCTGTGGACTTACAAGGAAATAAATTTGACCCTAAGAGGTACCTGGGTATATGGAAGACAGTGAGCTAGCAACAACAATCAATCAATCAGTCGAGGGAGAAAAAACAGAGGAGGTGAGAGGTAGATGCAGATGCAGATGTGGATGAATTTGGATGGGACAAAATCATTTCAAAGTGCTCGTGAGATAGCCAAGCATGGCTATCTCACTAGCACTCACAATTTCTATCTACTTTGGGAGTCACCTGAGAACGTATATTAAAACACAGAAGGTAGATGAAAATGTAAGACTGCAGAGCTACAAGACAAAAAGACATACAACCTAGTCCCTCAGAAGTACCTTGTCTAACCATAGAGAGAATAGTGCACCTTCGTAACAAAACCAAAGAAAAAAAGAGTAAGAGTTAAATGCAAAATGTTGGCAATGCAAAGCATTTAAATGTCTACACATTTATTCTTTATAATATAATATCTCTAATTTTAATAACCTAGAAATTTTGGAATTCTGAGTCATGAAAGCTGAAGGTTGTCACTGTGGAGCAGTAACTCTCAAATGAGGATGATTTTTTCCCTCCAGAGGACATTTGTCAATATCTAGGAATATTTTTGGTTGTCACAACTGAGAGGTATAAGTGACATCTAGTGAGTAGAGACCAGGGATGCTGCTAAACATCCTACAATGCATAGGATACCCCCACCACAAAGTTACATGGTCCGAAACGTCAATAGCGCCAAGAAACTCTGCTATAAGTCACTTTGGTTCTGTGCTTAATATTATCTAAGATACTTGACCAGTAAAGTCCACCAATGAGATGAGCTAATATATTACCTGACTTCTATTTGAGTGCTTAAGATAGTTATTCAAGGTATAAGGAAGACAGTAATATGTTCTAAGGTAATTTCTACCATAATCATAAGTAACGTTCATGGCAATTTGTATTATAAGTATGTAGTTAAGCATTTAGAATTTCAGGTATTTAAAATGTTCAACACTTTCCAGTGTAATTGTGTTTTCTACATTTCTGTTTTCCAAAAATCCATCAATTAGTTCATTCCTCACAGTTCCAATCCTTTAAAATGTTAAGATAACTTAGTAGATACAGAAATGTACCTTGGCTGACTTTATTGCTATCTTTCCTCTTTGATACCATATAACCTCTCCAGCACTTAAATTCCACTACACTCTGATGCAAGTTGTTTTGTTATTTATGCCCATAGATCTCTATGAATACTTATTTTGCTTTTATGCAGATTTTATTTTGGCAATGCTGCTATTGTTGTGTAAAAATGCCTTCACCTAAGCCCTCTCACAATGAAGCCAGCCACAGAACCACTTAACGTCTGTGATTTACAGTTTACAAGGCACTTCCAGGATGTCGTCTCACTCCTCGGGACAGTATGTGATACCATGTGTTACCTCATAGCACATGCCACGAATTATCACCGTGTTGGGAAACTTTGGCTTAGAGATACTCTTGAAGATTGGGCCCAGACCTTGAGCCCAAGTTATGTGACTCTGGGTCCATTTCACTACATCCCTTACCTGATTGTGGGGAACACACTGAGTGCCCCTTCCTCCAAGCTCCAGGCTCCACGTTCACAAGGTCTGTCACTGTGTCGCCATCTTTTGTGACACAGCTTGTGCAGACAAAATAAAACGTCCAATTTCTGAGGCTGCTATTAAATCTCAAAAAACAGGCTGCTTCAATGGATAAGATTTTGATTACCACACTTTTTCTGGGCAGAGACGTAAGCTAACCATTCAAATGGGGCTAAAATATTCTGTTTTAGGCAATCCATCAATTCTCAGTAGGAAATGTTAGGTTATTAGTTTAAAATATTAAATATGAGAAGATTCCATTAACATGGATTTATTTGTTGGATATTCACAGAAGAGTTTCCATGTGAGAAAGAATTCTGCTGACGTATGTCGATATTCACTTCCACTGCTAATGAGAAGTCCCCTTGGTCTCCAAGTTTCTTAGTCTCTTCCTCTCTCCAGCACCACCAAACTCCTCTTAACGTCTTGGAAAATGGGTACTGAGGTAGTGGAGTCAGTTATCAACTGACAGCTCTGAGATATGACTAGAGATGATCAAACATTATTTGGGATCTTCTCTGAACCACACATGGAAAAGTGGAAAGTGTTCTTGGTAGCTGATAAGAACTCATGAAGAAATGTAGAATAGAACCAGAGAAGGCACCTTAGAGTTCAATTGTCCAACAAGTTCATTTTCAGCTGACAAAACTGAGCCTCAGAGAAGAGAAACTTTAATATAAATCATGATCATTGCAAATTAAAATGATGAACATCTCTCCTGTCCATTTACCTTCTGCAGATTATCTTTCATTCCAATGCACCAAGTACCATTTTCTCTGGATTTTTTTTCCTCCTGTTGTTGACTCGTCTTTCTCAGTGCTGTAAATTTCTTGTTGACTCATCACTGAAATGAATTATTTGTGTTTATTTAACATTCAGTCTGCACTTTTTTCCTCATGTTAAATATGTGGACTCTGGGACTACCTGGATTTGAATCCTGCTTTTATCAGATGTTGGACAAGAGACTTAATCTCTCTGGCCTGCAATTGCTCATCTTTAACATGGTGATAAAGTTGTGGCTACATAATAGATGTTGGGAGACAATAAAATGAGATTATAGATTTTAGTAGAGAGAGAGCGTGTGTGTGTGTGTGTGTGTGTGTGTGTGTGTGTGTACCAGGTGCATCAAGGCACACATGCTGCGCACCATGCCAGGCACATAGTAAATACTCAATAAATGTCAGTCGTTATTTCCAAGAATAATAGATGTAATTATCAAAATTTTGGTTCTGTAATTGAATTGAATACACAAATAAATGTCACAAACCAAGTCACCTAATTGATCACTATGTTTTTCCTGAGAGTTGGAGCTACAAACATGTCTTATGAAATAGTAGCCATTCATTGACTAGCACTGTGTGCCCAGCCCTGTGGCAAGAATTATTGTTGTTTTGCCCTGTTTGAACCTTACAACAATTGAACCTGTTTTTCTGTTTGCAGATGAGAAAAGTTAACCAAGTCTGAGAGGTGAAATGACTTGCCAAAGGTCACTTACAGATATTGGAGACAAGACAGGAAACAAGAGGTGCCTCATTTCAAAGCCCTTTCTATCTAAACCACTTTGATTTTTCCTCCTCTTGAATATGCCCTGCTCTGGAAAGTGTGTAATCACGTTCCCAAACTGTGCATACAGAAAACAAGCGATGTGCTATGTAACCGCAAAACTTTAAGGTCCTCATCCCTCTAACGCTTCTGCCTCTTTTCTTTGACATCTACCACTTACTTGTCTCAAAGTTTCATTCCACAAAGTCTGGATTTTAACTGTAAACTTTCGTGACACACCTCTTCCTGCCTAATCATATAGCCATTATTATATCTTAACTTATTAAGATATAATATTTATATCTTAAATTACTAAAATGGTTCAGAACAAAAGCAGTTAAACCTCATCATAGGCAAACTCAAAAAATTGTTTATAGTTCACAAACCTGATGCTATCCATACAAAATAAAATTAAAGCATTTTATTAATGGTTTATTGCTTCCAAAAAATCCCATACCAAGTGTGCTGCCTGTGAGAATCTACGAAGACATAAAATCACATATTGCAGGCATCCCATTCTGTGAAAGATATCAATTCAAAAGAGTAAGGCCTAGTTTTTTTTTCTGGCAATGGAAGTTTAATAGATGTTGAATGATAGAAAAAACAATGCACTAAAAAGTAATTTGTATTATTTTTCTTTTGGTGAGGAATACTATTTAAACATACACGTGTGTGTGTGTGTGTGTATGTGTGTGCATGTGTAGTATGTGTTTGCTTTTCATAAAGCCTCTAAATAAAATTGGAGAGTGTACAATCCAGGAAGCTCTAATGTCAATCTTTATTTTACAGGCACCAAAATGTATATCAGAAGAAATTGTCATTCATCATGACACTTCACATGTACTGCATTGTTTTAATAGAAAATTCTAAAGTTTCATTATGTTAATGTTGAGCAATGAAAATAAAACATCATAAAAAAATAAGCACTTTTTGGTGATTGGCTATAGCAATTTTCTGTCAGCTTCGAGCACGATAAAAGCATACTGAATGGAGATAGAACAAACACCAGGAATCCAGCAGCACCAAAAATGTTTTACTGGATCCCTGCAAATCTAGTGTTCATAAGTGCCAGCCAAATAAAATGCAACTTCTTCAACAAACTATGTGATAATTGTTCCAGAGAAGAATTAATAGAATAATTCTTCCTATACACCAATGCTGAAAGAAAGTATCCAAATAACATTTCTCATTCAAAGTGATGGACAAAGTGACACATTTAAATTTTAATAACTGATGCAGGTGGAATTCAAAATAGAGGAATACTACAGAGAAAATGCAACCCAGAAGCTCATTGATTACTTTGATTTTTTCCTTTTGTAGAAACACAAATATAGAATTGATATATGGTATTAACAGAACCATCTACCATATAATCATTGTGCAGACAAAAAAAAAGCCACAAATACAATACTGTTGTAAATAAGCTTGAGTATTTTCTGTTTACAGACACTTATTTATAGAGAAATTAACTAAAAATGTAGATTGGTATAAGAGGGAAGTATAGATTTGGCTTAATATAAAATATCTTACTCTTAAAAAGTAAACTATTTCTTATGTATCAAAATGTCCACTTTCAGAATATTTTATTATATTCATATTTTTTCTCTTAACTTTTTACTTAAAACTCCCTTATTAGAGCAATTCTCTTTGAAATGAAACAAATTTTTTATGTAATGTGGTATACTAAGCAGTATATAATACTTATTGTACAACAAACCTATAATAAATTATCAATATTTATTAAATTGAGTTAATATTTAATACAGTCACATAAAAATCTTTCAAAATAAACCACTCTATTTGAAAGTAGATTAAACAGCGTTCCCCTGCAATGTACTAAATTCAAAATATCAATCTATTCATTTAGAAACCACTTGAAAGAAAAGAAAGACATGAAGGTGAGATTATCAGGTCAACAGTTTCCCTTAATTTTTTGCAGCAGATTATTCAGGTATAACACAATTCATAGAACATATTCTAGAAGATGATTAAAGAGGTTTTAATCTGCCTTTCCTGAGACAAGTGACTAAATTATTGTTTAATATATCCTATCCTTGCATGAAAAAAAATCTTGAAATACTAATCAGTTTTACTAAATTTTTCTATTTTGTGTCCAAGAGTTTAAGTATTATCCAAACCCTAACTTTGTAAAACTGATTTTCCTTCTCTATCCCAGTTCCTTTATATGCCAGAACAGTAACTGTCCAATAAAAGCAAAAGCTGAAATAATTGCCCAAAATAGATTTGTAACACCCCTTTCTGCAAATCTGGGTTTTGTTTTGTTTTGTTTTTTGTTAATGGCTGATACGAATTTTTCTGAAGACTTAAATGAATAGGCCTCTTTTAGTGAGGGTTTATAGGCAATTGGGGTATTATGTTCTATATGTTTTACAATACACTGAATTACAAGATATCAGTATTTTCCCAATCTTCTGAGAGTATCTGTGTTATTACAAACTTCGCAGCCTGAATATTCCTGCTTGGTTCTCTTACATTCATTTTACAGGAATGAGTACTTTCCAGTCCGCAAGAGGATAAGCATTATCTACCATATGACATGTGAACTCCTGGAAAGAGTTCATATGATCTGCAGGAAAAAAATTAACGAGTGTCTACTTTGCAAGAGTCCTAGAGTTTATTTTGGTTTCCAGGACCCCTGGATCTTTTTAGTCCTGGTGTTCATACTTCTCTGAAAACAGAGACAGTTTATGGCCAAACCACTGGCACTGCCAAACCCTTGGTCGAACTATCTGATAGAGTTCGTGAAGATCCCTCTTTGTTCTGTTGTCTGTGCAGACAACGCTCACTCGACTGTGTAGAAAAAAAGTGCTAGACTGAAGCTGTGTGCACATAAGTAAAATATTGTTGAATAGTGCCTAAGGAAATAGAAGAACATTATTTTAAATTATCTCGATCATAAAATCCAAGTGAAGATTTGGCAATATAGCAACAAAACCTCAAAACCAGTGATTCCTTTTAAATAAAAACAAAAATGAGAAACAGTAACTATTAGAAATCCCACCTGGTGCTTTTCCTGTGTTAATGATGCTTCTTAAATTGCATGTGGGTAAATGGTAATTTTGTCTCACACCATTAAAAACTAATGGAACCCTTGATGATAAGAAATGCCATAGCTAGCTTGTTGGAAAACGTTTAATTAATAAAGTAATAAAATTATTGTAAACTAGTGCAGTTTCAGGGAGAATTCAATGGGATATAAAACAGATAAAACATCCTAGCGAGTTTGTATAGAAAATAAACATTACTATATAAAATACCATATAAAGTAAAAGGGGTTTCTCTCACATAGAATTAAAATTAGCTATTATACTAATAAAAATAGATTATTCTTTCAGGGAAAACATGCTAGAGAACATAGCCTATAAAAAGCTATTTTCTATCATTCAAGAAAAGTCAGAAACAGAAAAACATAAAAACAAAACAAGGAATGTTACTCTATTTTTTCATAAGTTGGAACTCAGAATTTAGGCACAAATATGTATAATAATAAGATAACAAAACAGTGGGTTAAGATAAAAACAAAGTTATTCTTTCACCTGCCTTTTCTAAAAGTAAGTTAATTCTTTAGATAAACTTCTATACTTTTTACAGTGCACATTTTTGTCAAATATTGAAACGTGTTCAAGAATCCTAAATGAAGACAATTTTGTCATCATTTGGGAATAAATCACAAAATCATAAATATTCTAATGACCAGCCCAGTTTTTCCATGACTCCATAGCATAGTGTTGATTCTTTTCCAATTCTCCAAAGCTCCTTAGGAGTTATATTATTCTAAGATTAAGTGTATAAAAGGAACAAATTTAGTGTCCTCACAAACAGGAAGACTGGGAATCTTCGACCAATGCCTCAATAAACAAAGGAATTTGAAACCTTCCACTACCAGTTCCACAGTGATGAGTAAAGTTGCCTTTGTAATGGTGGTGTTGCCTATCTTCTCAGTAACTGTAGAAGTCATACTGATTTTTAGAGCTTTATTAATTCAAATTTTCATGTATTCTTTTATATATAAGCTTAGATGTATACATTCATTCATTATTTCCAAAAATATTATTGAGCAACTTCTGTGTTCTGAGTGCTGCCATGGGGGGACACAGCAGTGAACAAGACAGAGGTTACTCGCCTCATCCAATTTATATTCCAGTTCTCATTTCTATTTTGTTCGGAAATTGAGCAAGTTTCTCCTTCTCTAGAGACCATTCTACATCTGTTCCAATTGCGTATGTTTTTGTCAATAAATCCCTAATTACTCTTTATTTTTCACTTGACCTTTTATCCCTAGTTTTTTGTTTTTAATTAAAAATTACTCTGCTTATAATCTTGGCAGAGGAGGTCTTAGCAAACTCCAAATCATAAATGACAAGAAAAAGTTTGACTTCACTATACAAAGAGCTTTTAATAATCAATAAATACATAATAAATAACATAATTTAAAAATTAGCAAAGAACTTTAACAAATAATTTATAAGAGAGAAAATTTTAAAGGATAATAAACATAAGAGATACACAGCATTATATTAAAAATAAAAGAATTTCAGATTAACATAGTCACAAGAATTTATTTTCCTTTCTGATAGAGAAAAAAAATCAAAAGTTTATTATACCAAGGTAGGTAACAGTATGTGAAAAGGTTTGCTCCGGAATTTAGCTGATAGTACAACTTCTAGGTATTAATTTGAAAATATCTACTAAAATTTAAAATATGTGCAACCTTAACTAAATGATTCTGTTTCAGAAATGTATCAAAGGGAAAAAATTGAAAAATATACAAAGATATATGTAAAAGAATATTCATAGCAACATTATTTGTCAGCTGAAAATAATGTTGGGGAAAAATAATAAGGGACTGGCTAAATAAATTATACATACATACAACTAAAAACACAATAGAAAAACAGCTGTCTATATATTTGATTAGAAAGATGTCCATGACAAACCATGACACACTATTAAGGAAGGCAGGTTATGAAAAACTATGTATAATTTGGTAATATTAAAAATATGTATGTTTGTATATCTGGAAGATACACCCTAAACTTTAATTACTGTTTCTAGTGATGAGATTATGGCAGATTGTAAGGCACTTTTCATTTTCCATTTTATATATTTCTAATTTAATTCTCTGTTGCTTGTAATGAGCATTTATTAAGTTTGCAAACAAAAAATATGAATACTTTTATCTCTAAGAAATTTTAAAAAGTCATTCTATTCTCAAAGATGCAGAAACCAAATATAATTGTCTGGTTCAGTTTTCAGGATGCCAAGGTCAATTGCTTAGAGTTTAGAAAGTGAGGGGTTTTTTTTTAAATTTTTGATGAGTTTGAAATATTCCCATTGTTATAACTTATGAAAAACTTCAATTTCTAGGATCAAATATTATACGTGGATAAAGAAAGAAAGTGTCCAATATATATATCAATATATCTTTACATACATTTCCAAAACATGGGGCAGAGCATCCCTGATCATTCAAAGCATTGCTGCTTCACAGAATAGCAAGAAAGTTCACTTCAGATTTACATCAGCATTTGCATATGATTAATCATCAGCCATAAATACAGATGGAGATTAGGATTTTTTAATCTAGGTATCCAGCAGTGCTAAAGATATCATTAGATAGGCCAGGCATGGTGGCTCACACCTGGTAATCCCTGCACTTTGGAGGCCAAGGAGGGTGGATCACCTGAGGTCAGGAGTTCGAGACCACCCTGGCCAACATGATGAAACCCTGTCTCTACTAAAAATACAAAAAATTAGCTGGGCATGGTGGCGTGCGCCTGTAATCCCAGCTACTCAGGAGGCTGAAGCAAGAGAATCTCTTGAACCCGGGAGGTGGATGTTGCAGTGAGCCAGGATC